AAATGGTCAGGTGCCTACACAGAAATAGTTTGGGGCAGTCATGTCTAAGTTATTAAATGGGCACTGCAATGTGATTAGAAAGAAGAGGGATCAGCAAGGGATTTCTAATGACAAACAATAGACTCTTAGCTCAAGTGAAGTACTTGCAGTTCTATAAAGTTACTATAAAATAAACATATTTTATTATATTAATATTAAATAAAATACATATAAAACTAAAAATATAAAGTTTCTAAAAATAAAGTCTCTATAAAGTAGCAAAATAGGAGGAGCAGAAAATGCAGTAGATAAATATGTCTTCATTTTCACTAAATATGTTTGTATGTCTGTGAAACCTGCCTTTGTGGTTGGGTTAGAAAGACAAATCTTATGCACAAAACTGTTACTGAATGTACTCAGTTAGTAGTATTGAATGTTACTCAGTATTCATGTTATATGTGCTAGGGTCTTAACCATGACTTTGGCCTTATATCCTCTTTCCCAAGAGGCATATCCATAACCTCATACTTCATCATACTGTGAATGTCCCTAAACATAAGGTCCCTAAACATACTATTGATAGGGACTGTCAGGTTTAACGCTTGTGTAACTAAAAAAGGCCTTAAGCATATTAGTGCTAGAAACAACCCTCCCAGGTTGTGTCTCTGTCTCATGGCCACAGTGTATCTCCACCAAACTGAACACGCCCAAGATCATACAGTGCCCATTGTTACTTACCTCACCTGCACAGCAGCCAAGCCATGGCTCTATGGGCATTTCCGTAAATGTGATACTGGATACTGTGACTCTTCTCTGTCAAAGTCTAACTCTGAAATAGGTGATTCTTTAGAAAGGATAGGTTTTGAAGGCTATGTCCTCAACAACAACAAAATGGGGGCAACTGAAAGTCCTTTATTATCATTTAATTCTGGTAATTCTAGGCATAATGCCAAACCACCTATGCATGTAAAAACTCTGGTGCCATAGTTCTATACTTAGAACTACACAACAGCAACCCTGCAACATGAGTGTAGATCCCACATGCCTTTTTCTTTTGATTATTGTCATTGTAAAACACATCATCGAATGTCCAGTTTTTGGGTATTACATATGCTCTAAACTTTTTTCTTTACAATAGAACAGAGAACACAAAGAAAAACATGAACATTATTCTTTGGGGAATATTGGAAATAATTTTATTTCATTTATTGAGACTCTCTTGGGCTTGGGATGCAGCTCAGCAGTAAGCCTTTACCTACAATGCACGAAGGCCCATGTTCATCACCTTCACTGCAATAAATGCACAAGTTCATGAATTTAAATCTACTCCACTTTCCTGTCATAAATCGGTGAAATAAAACTATTTGGGAATCATATATGTTACTTAAATCAGCTTCCTACTTATGGAATTGGCTTCTTGAAAATTATCCCAGCCTGACATCTACACCTTAAGATACCAGCCTCATATTTAGAAGAACCACATTCTGATGCTCTCACATTAAGTTTTAATCCAACAACACTTTCATCTTCAACCATCTAGTTGGCCTCTAAATTGGAATTGAGCCTGGTAAAATGTGATACTCAGTTCAATTAAATTGAGTCCCAGAGAGCTTCAAAGCACAGGTGCTAGGGGCCCTCTTGTGGCTGAGAAGTAGAGTAACCAAGTATCATTTGAAATCTGGAATAAATAGGCAGATATTGAATTTACTTGGCATAAATTTATTCTCATTTTCTTTCTGTTGATTCAATTAAAAAGACCATTTTAAGACTTCTATGTTGAGTACTGAAGACTCAACATAAGTGGGATATAGTCTAAGCCATAGAGGAGTTAAGAGTGTAAAAACAGCTAAATTTCAACCTTCCTTGCTAAGCACTGTAGAGTGATATTAGTTCTAGGAACCAAATTTGTATCCTTCAAAATTATGCACCTATAAATGAACTACTCTCCTGACTCAAGGACATTTTTTTTGGTCTGCATTTCATAGCAACTAATACTATCTAGAAACTTCCGACATGTATTTTTTTTTTCACACAGAATTGTAGTAATTCATGCATTTTCACACGAGAAAACACATTATTTCTAAATTTCTTGTTAAGCTAACTTTAATCCATACGCTTTCATTACCATATCAGAATTCAAGTCTTTATTAATTCTTGCCAGGACACTATTTAAATAAGGAAACCAAGGCAAGAGTCACTCTTATCTGCTAATCCAGCATCATGAGTCCCAAACCTGAATGATCTCAATGTACTTAACAGTAGGTTCAGTCAACATCTGTTTGTTTCTAGGCCTTTGCAAGGGTTAGATATGTGCAGGCACACGTGTGACACATGGACACACAAACACACACATACGATCAGTTCCAACACCAGCTATTGAGCAGCTGTCACAGTTCTCGTGTTGGGTGGAACTTTCTATCAAGTTATGTAAAGTCCTATATCCAATTACCAACCAGTCCCTGGCTTGGCACTGTTTAAACAAATGATACACTTACAATGCCTAAAGTGATTGTATAAATAATTTAGTTGGTTCTTCTTTCACACAGTATACAGAGAGGCTGATTATACTAACCCAGTGCAGGTATGGAACAATTGTATTATTACACTTCCAACATTGACTGTGAAAGGGTGAAAAAGTTTTCAATGTATTCTACTTTACATAAATCAATGAGAGCCAAAAATGTTCACAAAGTTGGTTTATTTACAAACATTAGTGATTCTAGGTTCAATCTACAAGACATTTATAAGATGCCAAAGAAAAAAGTGGTAGGGGAGTCTTAGCATATTTTAAATCTAGGCTTATTTATGGGCCCCAGTGGTGGCACACACCTGTAATCCCAGAACTTGGGAGGTAGAGGTAGGAGGATCAGGTATTCAAGGCTTACCTAGGCTACACAGCATATACAGGGAAAGCCTGGACTACATGTGACCCTGTCTCAAAACAAGCCGCAGAAACAAAAAATATTAAAAAAAATACCATTCTATTCTCTTACCTTAAATTTCTACAAAGTATTTTCAACTCAGCTATTTTCCCATTTTCAAGATATTTCCAAAATCTGTCATTTTTAAAAGTCTTTTGGGATATTAACACAGTATCTTTATAAGCCCTTTCAGTTTGTTTCTATGTACAGAATTATGAAGAACTACCCCTTATTTCTAATATTTTCTGTGTACCACGTAAGACTATTTCCTTTTTGATAATGAATAACAAAGTGAACATCCCTATCAATATTTTAGAACATTATGAAACTGAAACAAAACTTCACTTTGGGTAAGATTTTGTGTGCACATTATCATGACCCAAACACAGTTTATAGTTATGTAAGCGACTCAATGACATTTAAACTCAACAGTGTGTACCATGAACCAAACATTGAGAAGCCTTTTCTCAATTGTACCCATTTATTAGGACTTTATCTCATGTTCCTGTAGTGCTCTCAATTCATTCATTGCCATATCCATACATTTAAAAACGAGCATCAGACAATGAAGTTGTTTCCTCCCCTCCATTACCAACAGGCCTGTATTCTCACCTCTAGGCATCCATGTTCACAGACAGCCCGGGCTGAGTTTGAGGACATCTGACCTATACGGGGATAGTCTCTCTCAAATAGAAATCAGTAATAAGGAATATAAATCATAGGCCTGTCAGAAAACTTAAAAACTTAAGTTGAACTCTGAAGGGAAAGTAGTGATGCAGTGACCTAAAGCCCTTCCTAGGTGATGGATTTTGTGAGGTACTAAGGGATGGAACAATTTAATATGTTGGGGGATTCTACAGACTGGAGATAAGAACATGCTAGATTTAGAAAGCCCAGCTTAACGCCGAGTTTGAATTACATCCGGGAATAAAACATTTCAAGTGGGGGAATGAAATGATCCAACTTGAATTACATAAGGCCACACAGGCAGTAACGGTGAGGAAGATATAGTGGAGGCACAGAGGAGCCACTGCAATCACTTGGGGCTTAGGAGGGCCAAAAAGGATAATCCAAGTTTTATAGCTGATAGTCTCACAGTGGTCTTCAACCAGTCAGCAGGAGCACAAACTCACGGTGTTTCAGAAATAATCTTTTATCTCTTACCTTCAGAAATAACATTAACAATCATCTTGAGTCATTTGTATCTGAGAGACCCCATAAGGAGTAAAACACAGGTAGTTACTAGGGAAATGTTACTAAAGTATGGTCATTTTAAGGTGTTTGTGGAGTATCAAAGGAAGTAGACCCACTGATGGGTATATAGTTAGGGAGGCTACAATTAAGCCTGGCTGTGAGAGCATTTAGCATTTATCAATCTACTGGTTATCTGAAGCATGGTCAGTCCTACCTTCTGAGATTCAGCCAGAGAAAATATATTGCTAATCAGAAGACTCAGGAGAAAGTCCTATAAAATATTACTTAAAAACTTACATACAGCAAAAGGTGCTCTATGAAAAACCTGAAACGACTTCCAATGATAAGATGCAATGTGAGGAATGGGATGGCAAGTTCCAAGTGGAAGGATGGGCAACATTATCACTCTCTACCAAAGGTCACATTAAATCTGGCAATCCTGATGTCAAGAGTAAAGCTAATGGGTTGAGATTATTTTCCATTATAGTTCTTTCTTGACCTCAGTATATGGGGATGCAATTTAAGAGATTCTGCTTTCAAATTCACATGAGAAGAGAATGTGATGTGCAGCCAGCTTGTAAATGTTGTCTTCCACTAGATGGTTTTGAAGCATAAGGAAGGCACATACAGATAAGACCCAGTCCTAACCCTCAGAATTTGTAACAAATAAAAAATTAGACAACCTACAGTATAAGATGGAGACATTACAGTCATCAAATGTGAGGATGCAAAAGAGGAACAAACCATAAGCAGACAACTCGGAAAGGCTTCTCAGATGTTAGCATAGAGAATCACACATATAAATACTGGATTATAGTTAACTGCTGGCATTTTCTCTCAACATTTCTAGTCAACCAGTAATAAACACTAGAGTCCCATTTATTCCAAAATAAAAAAAAATGAAACTCATTCATGAGATATTTATTAAAATAACACATTTAGGGAAAAAAATCAATACAATGTATACATCATTACTGAAAACTGTATACCATCATACAAAAAAAGGACTTTATTTTGGGAAATCAATTTCTAATTTATGGCAAGTTTTACTTTCAGAAATAAATCCACAGAAGAACACATTCTAATTCACCCTTAAAGACTGGCATGCTGAGCAAGGAATGTTCTTATTCTTTGTAGAAGTTCCTTCTTTACACTGTCAGGTACCAGCGCTGAAACATAAAAATCAAATGTTAAAGTAAGAAGACTCCAATGATTACATGTCAATTTGACTTGATGTTTTATTAAAGATTACCAATAACAGGCATTTCACAGAACTCTCATGGTTGAATTAAAAAACAAAAAGATAAAGATGTCAGACTTAATATCTAATACTTAAGCACATAGCACATCAATGAGACGCAAGCCAGGGAAATTCTTTAAACTAGATATACACAGGTACATTTGAAAATGCAAAGACATACTGATAAATCGGACTTCAACAAGACTCACAACAAGCAGTCACCCTAGACAGTATGATAGTCAAGGCACAATAGAGTTGAAAAGAATTTTTATTGGGGGGGGGGGGCTTCTTGAGGTGGCAGCTAAATGAATTTACACATGTACAGAACTCAAGAAAGTTTTCATTAAAACAGAGGCTATGAATTTGAAGGGGAGTTGGGTGGGAAGGGCACACGGGAGGGCTACAAGGGAGGAAAGGAAGAGAAAGAAATGTAATTATATTATAATCTCAAAAAAGTGGTCAAATTTAGTGGATACCAATAGGAAATGTGCAAGACATGAGTTATATCCATGGCGAAAATGATGAAGGAGAAATGGGAGAATTTATTGAAATATATGGTGCCTAAACAATGTTAACAGATTAAGAAAAAAAAAATTGAAAAATAAATCAGAAAACTATTGCAAGTATAACCTCATAAAATGAACAAATATCTTTCCAGAGCCATACTTTAAGAAAAAATGTTTTTCAGTTGTAAACAAGCTTTTAAAAAAAGGACCATAGGGTTTTACAGTTCCTTCTCAACAGGAAATTCATATTCTGTAGTAATTTTCAGACATTTATTTTATACTCAGAGGATTTTGATTGTGGCTATGTGTAAAGACATCTATAACTCATCTAATTTAGATGCTTTCACTTCTAAGTCTTAAATATGTATTACCCTGAATTACCAAATTAGACATTCAAGAAGAGAGACTTTCATTTATTTTTAATAAGGAAAGAGATAGTAGGACAATGACTCAGGACTGGAATAAAATGTTGAATTATTAAATATTTAAGTGGAATCAGGCCATATCTAATAAAGTTTATAAATCATAGCTTTGAGTGACATTTCTCCATATAAAAGCTCATGTTAAAAATGATCTGCCTTACCAAACATCAATCTAACACTGCAAACTGAGTGCCAATTTATACCTATTATCTCATTTGTTACTCAAGCCTGCCACACCAGTCAGCTATGCAACTTAAACTGTTACCACATGAAGAACAACTCTACAATTTTGGAAACGATGCTTTTCCTCTAAAAAGCCTGTTTCCTCTGACACAATCTGTGCTCCTTACCTCTGCCTTTTGGAGTGATTTCAGCCACCAAGTCATCAACAGTAACGTGTTCTAGTCCTTTTTCTTTAATTACCTCTTATGCAAAAGCAAAAAACAAATCATATCATTTAAAATCATTATCTGTAAGAAAGATTTTCATAGAGGAAGGGTTAAAATCATGTTTTTAGAGTATAGATTGGTCTTTAAATAAAAAGAGGACACTTTTTTTTAATGAAAATTTATAGCCTCATGAATGTACTAATCTCCAGCTTACACACAGTCTGTTCATACTTCAGCTAAATAACTTAAGCAAACAAATAGCTGTATTAGGGTAGATTAGAACTGGGCACTGTCAAATCTAACTTTTGTGAAAAGCTGGAACCAAACAGAGCTTAGTATAAGCACATTATATTTAACTGTATCAAGGAAGCAAATCTATTATTTGAGGCTACTTTATAACTTTACAGTCAAAATTAAGATGTATAGTTACTGTGCTTTTCTCTTCTCTAGACTGGACCAAAGGAAATGAAGAGGGACAACAATCAACATTTGCTGGAACCCTGCTAGCTGCTTTACAACTTTAAATATCTCATAAAACTCCTATGACAGAGGTAAGGCACCTGAGGCATAAAGATTACTCATTTGTATATAACGGAAAACAAAATTCAGTATTGAAGGTCTGCACGATTTCAGCTTCCTTCTTTTATTAATTCATCACAATGCCTTCTTACATTTAATACAGACACAGTCTATTATATTTACTTGCAGAAAATATTATAACTCATTAAAAATATTTAGAATTTTATACCAAAAGTTGAGCTAGAAAGGGGTTTTAAAAGCACATTTTAAAAGCATGTGCAGTCTCAGCAATAGCTCTCAAAAATGTTAAAAAAAAAGCCTTTGATTGTACATTTTCTGTAGTAAGTTTAACTCCATGACAACACTCACAAACACCACCACACCCATATCTGGCACATCAACCATCAAGTGCTCATCATACTAAGAGAAAGTGTGTCTTCCTGCTAAAGAGAAAGGACTACTAATTTTACAGAAAAACACTGAAGTCCACATTCAGATCCCACAGGAACTTCAGTATTCTTGCTTCACTTTTGCAGAATACACGGAAAATCCCTAAAAATTCAGGAATTAAGTCTAAAAATATCATTGAGAAGAAAACTCTCACCAGAAGACTCAATTTGCATTTGCTTAAAATGACGCTTGAGGATTTACTCTGTAGGAAATGAACTATACTTTCTTATAATGACTCCTAGACCAACCCAGGTCAGAAGCAGCTTATCTAAGTGAAACTGATTACCTTTACAGTGTGCCTTCAACTGATCCTTCCAGCCGCACTCAATTAATTTAGCTCTCAGCAACTCTTTGAGGCTGTTTAAAAAGGAAATGTTTTCAAATTAACTGAAGCAAGATACTGTAAATACGAATGTCTGCAGCAATGTACTTGTACAAACTGATCAACAGAAAACTCCCTCCTTTCCATCCCCAGGCTTTCTGTGGTCTAATCCTGAGTCATTACTTGGTGTTCTGATGTTACACATGCCAAATCTCATACTCCTATATGTTCAGGTTCCAAATCTATTCACTGACTACTGTCTTAAGCTGCCTTGCGTCTCTCCCTGTTTCTACACTGCAGCAATTGGCATGGCTGCTGCAATTTAATTAGCAGGATTTTTTTCTTAATGCTGAAAACATTGCACTAATTAGTGACAACAATAAAATATTTTACTACTTTTGCCACACCCATTTTTGTAAATTCAAAATCCTTAACTGAAATAGTTCAAATGTGTCACATCTTAAACTGATTTTCTTTCCCTGCAAACCACTACTTTTTCAATACCCCAGAGATACATGATGTGACATGTCTATCTTGCTATCTAATTAGGTCTTTCATTTCCAGAGCCAAAACCCAACTTCATATTCTCTCTCACTTTCTCTCCTCTTCAAAATGACAATCTCACTCTTCTGGGTTGCTAGGTTAGAACTTGGGAGTATCGTTCATCTAGTTACATATCCAGTGTATGAGTAAACTCTCTAGTTTGTTTTAAAATGCTTACCTATAATTCAAATGTTTCTCTGCCAAGAGTACCTTAGTTCCAGCCACCAGCTTTCCTTGTCTGAACTTATACCTAACTTTCTACATCTACTATGCCTCTTCCCTTGAACACAACATTCTCCTTAAAATCTTCCAGTTCCTTCCTAATTTACTCAGGATAACATTCTAAAGCTCCCCTACAGACCAAATAAGCTCTGCCTTCTCACCAGCTGTGCTTCTCACTCTATGTCCTCTCCCTTCACTCACTTTTCTTCTGAGGTAGCATATGATTATTTAGGCAAGTTTATCTTACTACTGTGGCTATTGGAACCCCCCCCCTCCCAATTCCTTTATACTCATCTGCTCTCTTATCACATACTTCTGACTAAAAATCACCCTTCCTGAATATCCCATGCTTTACTCTTTCCCTGGCACTCATCACCATGTGATATATTTCACAGTTATGATGTGATTCCTACCATTAACATGTGAATCCCATGAAAGTACACTTCACTACTGTATCCTGGACACCTAACAGAGAATGGCACATGACAATGCATGAATAAAAAATATGGTAATTCTTTAAACACATCCCTTCAACACTATTTGCCCACACGCCAACACAGCATATGGAGGTTTCTCCTTTTCATTTTGAAAAATTACAAAAGCACATCCTCCTTTCCATATTTGCTTCTTTTTACCTTCACCCCATCACCTTTCTAAGTAATGTTTTTTACCATCTATCTTCGTCCCTTCAATCTACATTCACACTGCCAGAATAATCTCCCTACAATGAAAATGTAAACCAGTCACTTCCTTTGCAAAAATCCTTAGTAAGTCCCATTATCCAAACATAAAGACAGCAACATATGCTTTTGCATACCAAGGCTCTTATTTTTCTGCTCCACAACAGAAACATAAGTAAACAACACTATTGTGTCACTCTCCTATAGAGATCTGGACAAAGTTCTTGTAATGTGAAATAGGACCTGGACAAGGCTGATCATAACTTGCCTATTACCTAAGCAAGATGGTAACCAAGTGAGGCTCTTTGCTGAGAAAGGTACTCTGAGCTGGTGGAATGTAAATTTTGAACTGCTAATCTCTGCCACCTGTGGTAGGGCCTGTTTGAGAATAAAGACAACAAAGAGGAAAGCAGAGCTGAGAGAGGAAAAGATAAATCTTGCAACCATTTCCAAGTGCCTAGACTCAATGATGTAAAAAGCATCTTCAGAATTTTAATTAAATGGGCTTAAATACTTCATTGGTTATAACAGTTTTGAAATTTAGTATGTTTCCAATGGACAGAATTCTTACACAAAAATCCTGTGTACTGCTTCAGCCACAAGCTTTCACACTTTCCCTGTATCCTGCAGTTTCAAATCTCTGACTGCATATTCTTTTACTTTTGCCTAGACCATCTTTTCTGCTGATTCCTCCTCTACTCTAGGTGAAATTCTTTTATTATTCAAACCAATCACCTCCAGAAAAAATGGAAGAGATTGTCTTGTTTCTGCATATACACATACCCTTTTGTAAACTTTATTACCCTGCTCTGGTAACCACATTCTCAATCCTTTCTTTGTACTTCCAAATCAGTGCTTTCTTTAAACATGTGCTTCTTAAATTGGGCTTTAAGAGTAGCATTACATAGTGGGTATACAAAGGTATTTCTATCATGGAAATTGGATCACACTGAACACCATAAACTAGTGGGAGTAGGTAGTGGCTATAAGAGCTGGAATCTGAAGATACTTTATGGAATATTAAAATGAAAGGAAGAAGAAAGTCTAGCAGAAAATAGCAACAGCACATGCTGCTCCAGAGCTACAAGCACGAGGTAACTTAACGTAGTTCTATAATAAACCTGGGTAATATTCTCCAGCTGTAGTTATTTGTGGCAATGCTGTCTCTTCTCCTTGTTATTAAGCAGCTTCAGCAGCATTGTTGCTGACCTTTGTATATGACTCTTACAAAGCCTGCAATATGACTCTTACAAAGCTTACAAAGCTGATTCAAACTATTATAGATAGAAACTCTGATAATCTTTACTTTTCTGTAATTCTTTCTAGACAGGTTTTGTCCCTTGACACTTGAAATTTGTCCAACATAATTATTAGAGATGGCAAAACCATGTTTATTAATACGATGTATTACTCACCGTTCTCTTTCTCCAGTTTCTATTAACTTTTGGTTAATCGCTGCTCTCATCTGCGCATCTTTGTTCATCTTGCTAACCTGGACATCAACATGCATTTTGAGATACATAAATTTAGAAAAGGGTTTCTTTCTAAGTCTGTCTAGACAATCATCCTAAGGCACTGAACATCTCAGCAAGGAAAGGATATTGCAAGTATGTTAAATGGTATCATTATTCTTAGTATTATTTATTAATTCAATTCATATTCAATACGCTATTCCCTTCCCTCATAAGCTCTTTATTAATGAGTTTTTAAGGGATTAACTACTATTATAACATGATTCCTAATACTGAGCATATTTAACTCTCAAACTTGCTTTACTAACAAGATATTATTTTACAGATGAGAACACTGAGGCACGGAAATTGGACGGTAAGATAAGAAAAAACAAATCTCAAATTATTCCTTAATTGAGAAAATTCTCCATTTTCATTAAAAGCAGGGAAACCAATGCCAAAATCGGTGTAGGGAAACAAACAAACAAACAAAAAGCAAGGTTACGGGTAAGTTTTGACGACAATTTTGCTATTTAAAAGTTTAAAATAAAATTAGTTAATGTTTTTCTACTTAATGTCACTAACTTGAGACTACTTTTGTGATTTTTCGATCCTGTGTATATGAAAACTTAGAGTGAAAAAGAATTTTCAGAGTTGGACTGGGCAAGAAGCAGGGGAAGAGAAGGTTAATAACTAGGTAATGTTTTACTTCTGTAGTTGGAGCTTAACATTTTCAAAATAACTGCAAAAGTTTAGTCAGTACCATACCAAGAATAGCAAAACTTCACCTCGACTTGGCCCCTAAAATCACGGAGAGTGACCTTGGGCAAGTGACTTAATTCCTAAAGGCCTCAGTTTTCTCACTGGTAAAACAAGGGCGCTAGGGGATCCCTCCCACTTCTGACATTCTTTGGGAAAAGGAAACACGGCCGAGACAGCTGGAGAGGCGGAGGGGAGGAGCCAGAAAACAAAGCGAGGACTGGCTCCAGGCCAACTCCAGCAGCACGCCCTGTCGGAGAGCCCTACAGGCCCGCGAGCGCGGGTCGGGGAAGCTAACTAAAGACAGCACATCGAAAGGAGCCTGGGCTGGGCCCGGGTCCCGGCCCTGAGGACCACGGGCATAGCTCACCACCATCACCGCGGGCGAGGGCCGTCCCTTCCCAGCGACGAAATGACCCTTGCGCTGGCGACCGTTACCTACCACACTCTTCGGCTGCCCGGACTTAGACCCTCAGTAGCTCGGGCACCTAAGCACACAGAAAGCTAGAACACGCATTTCCGGGGCGGGATCTGGCCGCCCTGCCTATAAATGTGAGAATTCAACTAGCGCGGGCCGCCTTCTGGTCGCTCAGCCCTCTGGGTAGGGAAGTCCAGAGCGTTTTATGCGGGAGGGTGTTCGGTTATGAGAAAACTACATTTCCCAGCATACAACAGAGCCTGCTTTCTGGTGGACACTACATTTCCCAGAATAGAGTTGGCCCCGCAGAGTTCTCTTGGGTGGGAACCGTGCCGCTTCCCAGCCTCAGTTCCTGGAGTGAAGCGCGAACCTTTCAACAAGAGCTTTATTGATTCTCTTGCTGGGATCCGGGAACGCGATGGAGGCGGCCAATTGCTCCCTGCGGGTGAAGAGACCCCTACTGGATCCCCGCTTCGAGGGCTACAAGCTGTCTCTCGAGCCGCTGCCCTGCTACCAGCTGGAGCTTGATGCAGGTGGGATCGGCGGCGTCCTCTCGCACCCGGTTCCTTTCCGTTTAGGCTGCCATTGCGCGACCCTGTCTCTCTGGTTGGCCAGGTACGCTGGCCTTCCTCTGGGTGCATCCTGCCGGGCTGCACCCAGAGCGGCGGTCCCTGGAAAACGGTGCCCACGCGGCGACCTGGGGATGCGCCTGTTCCCTCCGCGCCTTAGTCGCGGGACCGTGGGCCAACCCAGGCGTCCGCAGCTCAGGCTCGGAAGTTCCCCGCCCGGACACTTCAGGCCCACGTTGTACTGATGGCTCGGGTTGTCCTTCATTCCCGAAGCACCTTTTGTAAACGTGTTCGCTGAGAGGCCACACCTCCTTGGAAAATCCCCAGCTACTTTTCCTTCTGACGCAGAATCATTTCTTTGGAGAGAAATTTTCCCACGTTCAGTTAGCAGTTTCAGGTACCCAGGTCCGGACACACATAACAACGCTACACTTTATCGAGGGAAAGTAATTTAGAGCAGTTACTACTGCTTACTGCTACTACTCATTTGTAACTGGGCAGAGTCTCTTGTCCATTTTACTACGTTAGAAACTGAAGTTTTGTTAACGAAAGGGCACAAAGACTTATGTATTTAAATACATGTCTCCTATACAGGTTTTCCGTGGGTGGCACTTTGAGAAACACTGATCCAAGAGGTATTAGACGTTTGAGCATCAAGCAAATGTTATCTGTCTGTCTATCTATCTATCTATCTATCTATCTATCTATCTATCTATCTATCCATCCTTCCAACTAGGGAGTGTACGTTCTTGACTGTCCTGGCCCTAGCTTTGTAGAGCAGCCTGTCCCTGAACTCACAGACATCCATCTGCCTCTGCCACCTTAGTAATAAGACTAAATGTGTATGGCACCAAGCAGCCCAACAAATGCCTGTTTTTGTTTGTTTGTTTTGTTTTAATTTGTTTAATCGATTTAGAAGTAATTGTGGGCCTGTTTTGGGTTGCATTACAATGATTACATGATTGGTATGAAACAGTTCATAAGTGCCTAACAAATCATAATCCTCCCAGGAATTCTAGTTGCAGCATGGGCAAGTACTGATAGGGATGTGAACAAAATGTAATGGCATAACTCCCGTGGAGATCTGGGAAAGCTTCCTGGAGGAGTTGATAACTAAGTTGAGTTGTGAAGGTTAGGCAGGTTGCTATTGGCTGGTGTAGGAGGAGAGGAGCTTCCTTCTTTTTCTTGGGCATTTTTGTTGTTTTTATCTCTTTGTCAATAAATGATCCTACCGTGTTCAGTTAGCTAATTCATTGGAAACAAACACAAAGTGACAAACTTAAGGGCTAAAAACAAGGTGCTGTTGCTCTCAGATATGCAGATCAACTGGTCCTCCTCTCAGTGCTCATTCCAGCATCGATGCTCAGTTAGGGGCTGGTAGAGGCAGTTCTAGTCCTCTGTATTGTTCCCTAGCTATTGTGAACAGAGCAACAATGAACATGGGTGTTCAAGGATCTCAGTGGTAGGATAAAGAACCCTTTGGGTATATGCCCAGAAGTGGCATAGCTAGGTCATATGGTAGTTTTAAGTTTTGAAGAAACCTCCATATTCATTTCCATAATGGCTACAACTAGTTTAAATTTCCACCAGTTGTGAATAAAGGCTCACCAGTAATTCTCTTATTTCTTATAGCCTGTCTCACTGGGATGACACTAAATCTCAAAGTAGTGTCAATTTGCTTTTTCCTGATTGCTGAGGAGGTGAAACACTTTAAAGTTGTGCCCGTGTGGGCATGTGTCCGTGTGTGTGTGTGTGTGTGTGTGTGTGTGTTTCTGTTGAGGGCTGTATGTTCATTACATTAGCCTTATTTGTTGATTAGCAGTTTTTTGTTTGATTTAATTTTGTGTGTGTGTTTTAATTTTTGTAGGTGTTTTTTTGTATAGTTATTAACCTTTTGTCTGAAGTATGACTGATAACAATTTTGTCTTATTCTGTAGTCTGTTTTACTCTGTTAATAGTTTCTTTGCTGTACACACATTTTAATTTTATGTCATTGTATTTATTAATTCCTGTGACTATTTCCTGTGCTGATGAAGTCCTGTTCAAAAGTTTTTGTCTATACCTTATCTTGAAGTGTATTCTTATTGATTTCTTGTAGCCATTTCAATGTTTCAGATTTTAGTAAGACCTTTGATGTAATTTGAAACCCAGAGTAGGAGATGTGGATTTAATTTAATTCTGCAAGTAGATAGCAAGTTTGTCAGCATCATTTGTTAAGTGAGCTGTTTGTTTTTCTAGCTATGTTTTTGACACCTTTGTGAAAGATTAGGTGGTCATAGCTGTGGGGATTGATTTTTGGTCTTTCACCTGTTCATTTGTTCCATGGGTCTGACTTTGTGTTGGGGTCATTCTGTTTTTGTTATGATGGCTGTAGAATAAGGTCAGGTATTTGATACCTCCACTAGTATTGCTGCTTAGAATTGCTTTGATTATTTGTGGTCTGATGCATTTCCATGTGAACTTTTGGATTAGTTCTTCTACGTCTATGGAGATTGCCATAGATGCAATTTTTAATGCAAACTTGAAAAGGATTACATTGAATCTATGGAATAATTTTGCTAGTATAGCCATTCTTACCATAATTAAGTCATCCATCCCATGATCATGGAAGGTCTTTTCATCATCTAATAGCATCTTTGATTTATTTATTTACCTTTAGTATCTTAAAGTTTTCATTGTAGAGGTCTTTCACTTTCATGGTAAGGTTTAGTTCTAGGTTGGTTGGTTCTTTTTTCTTTTGGTCTTTCAAAATAGTGAATGGAATGTTTTATTTATTTCTCAGCAAATTCATTATTGGTATATATGAAAGCTATTGAATATTGATTTGTATTCTGCAGATTTACTGAAGGTTTTTATTTGATCTGAGAGTTTCCTGGTAGTGTCTATAGGGTCTTTACCTATAGAATCATGTCACCCATGAGTGGACATAATTTTGATTTTTCCTGTTTGTATTCCTTTTATTTTATTTTCTTAGTACTCCAGACTTCAAGAACCATATTAAATAAGATAGAAAGAGTAGGTACTCTTGTTTCTTCTTCATTTTAGAAGAAATGCTCTCTTTTTTTCCCCATTTTGTTTATAATGTGGGTTATAGGTTTGTTACTTATTATTTTTAATAGTTCATCTATTCCTAATTTCTTTAGGACTTTTGTCATGAAGACATAATGAACTTAGTCTAATGCCTTTTCTGAGTGTATCAAGACGATCATAGATCATCTTATGTTTACTTACATAGTATATTACATATTTTGATTGAGTATATGAATATAGGATATTTCTGTACTCTTATAGTCTTAATTTTTCCCCCTAGGATATACTTCAGTTACTTGGAAATGTTAAGATCATTGGGCCTTTTAACCAATCATTTTACGATTGGTTAAGCTGGTTTGTAATACTGCTCAGGCTACAACAAACTATTCAAACTGAGGGTAGCCTTTCACATGTATTCCAGCCACTAACCCCAAATTAGGACATTTTCCCATGCTACTTGTTCATCTTAGTGATTTCCCAGCCTTGTGTGAGTTAGTAAGTTTGGTAATATAGCCATTTTTACAATATCATTTTATCCAGTCATGATCATGGAAGGTCTTTCCATCATCTAATATCCTCTTTAATTTATTGCTACTACTATTATTTATTATTATTGTTGTTTAATATCTTAAAGTTTTCACTGTAGAAGTCTTTCACTTTTTTGGAAAGGTTTATTTCTAGGTTGGTTCCGCATTGTTTCTTCTAATCCTTGCTGTGGGTCTTACTCAGTCTTTGGCCAGAGTTACTTTCATCAAACTCAGGCATGCTTTGCTGTGCTGAGTGCGTGATTGAGCCCTTTTGTCCATCTCCAGTATTGTGTCTTTGAGCTCTTCCCTTCTCTGCTTCCCTGTGTAAGGAACCATGGCCACATTGGTTTTATCAGAATTTCAGGGCTTTATCTTTAAGTGAGGGACCTTGCTGTCTTCCATCTCGCTTATCTTGTCCTGTGGTCTGGAAGCTTTTCAAGACTGCAAGGTGAGGCATAGTGGCCTGACCCTCTTTGTGTCCTGTGTCTGAAGGATCTTTAGCTTTAGTTGCCTGTGTATAGTTCTTGGAAACTTTATTTTATTTAATTTTGTGTGATTTATCTTAGTGGTTGTTTTGATGAAAGATAACTGGTTCTGTTATTCCATCTTGATTGGAAATAAATGTTGTTCAAGATATATTTTAAATGAACTGGAAACAGTTGGCAATGTCTGACAAGGGTGTGTGGAATGGAAGAGGACCCAACTTTGTAAAGATGTTTGAGAAGTGCAGGGAGACTGTTAGTTATTCATTTAGTGTCACAACTAAAAGGAAAGAAGTGTTATTTTGCTCATGGCCTCAAAGTTAGTTTTGCAATCAATGTTCTTTGTGCCCCTTACTTACATACATATTAGATTATTTATTACTTCATCAGTCAAGAGTTAAAATACAAGGGATTTCATGTGGTTCAGCATAATAGTATATTTCAAAAGCCAAGAAACAGTAGTGAGTGGCTGTTGTTAATTCAGGAGTGAGGCCTGCAGTTTCTCAGCAATATCTGCCCAAAGCCAATTGCAATCAATGCCTGGCCTGTAGTAGATTGTCAAACCATAGTGATTTTTGAGGGTCCATTGGGGGTAAGAGTTATAAAGATATTTTTACAAAGATTTAGGAGAGATCTCCTTCTGGGATCCTGAGTTCTCTATAAAGAAACTCATGACTGTCGTAGTAATGTTTATTTATAGTGAATGGTAACTTTAAATAATAAAACACCAAGTGTTGGCATCACTGTAAAAGTGTTCTTCACCAGTTTCTCAGATCCTCGAGAGAGGAGAGAGTATAGCCATCCTGGGCCCCTCTTCTTGGGGTGAGCAGGCTTTTCAGAAGAGTTCTCTTGGTTTTTTAAGCACTGCCTTTAACTGAAAACTGCTTTCTTCCTTTTCTACTCTTTGTACTTAAGGAGATTGGCATGATAAATGCAGTTACCACTCTTCATTGCTCACTTGGGGCCAGCAAGGTAGCCTTTTTCTGTGAATTAAAAGGTTTATAAAATAATCACCACCCTGTATGACCATGTTGGCTTTTTTATTCTACTGACGTGAGTCATCTTGTAGAAATCCATCAAACAAGCCCAGCTCTATATATGTTTGTGAGTAGTGTTTTAGTGAGGCAACATGTTAAGAAACTTATGTTTTTTTAGGGTTACCCAGGGCTGTCTATCTAAAGATGATAAAAAACCATACTTGGCTTATTGTCTAATATCATTACTGCCTTGTGCTATATGTTCATAATGCTTCCTGTATTATTAAGTTTCATCCACATAGTGGTGCTAGAAAACCAACAATCGATTCCTGTTTCTCTCTTATTTAGTAAAGTATATATTTTTAATTATTCCTTATAAAATAAATACTTCCTTATACTAAAGACCACTAAAGGTGGTTAGTTGTAATTGTCATTTGGATACAATCTGGAATCACCTGAGAAGGAAGTCTCAGTAAGGAGTAGATTGGTTAAATTCACCTGTGTGGGATTTTTTTCTCTTCAGTTAATTGAGATGGGAAGGCATACATTGAATGCATTGGCACCATTTAATGGGTTAGGCCCTGGCATGAGTGACGGGGATAGATGAGTATAGCACTAAGTGTGCCCTAGCAGTGACCTGGTCATCTGGAATTGTGACACAAATAAATACCCTTTATTCTCTAAGTTGCTTTTGTCAGGGTTTATCACAGTAACAGGAAAGAAAACTAGGGCAGCTGGTATGAATGCTTGTTTTTTCTTTTTCTTTTTTTTTTTTTTTTGCTTAGAAGGGATGCTATTTAAAGGCGTAGTTCTTCAATTAATTCTTCCTTTTTGTAAATTTTGGCTTAATTTTGGAAAGCTTTTGTTAATCTCCTGAAATATGAGATTCAGTCTCTTTTATATATTCTTAGAATATTTGTGTTTTTTATATATCAGTTTAATTTTATAAAATTCATTATACAACATGTGATTGACTAGTGCTGCTGTGTTGTGTTTGAGGGATGGGATTATTTATTTATTATTTTGAAACAAGTTCTCACTGTATAAGCCCTAGCTGGCTTGAAACTTGCTGGCCTCTGATTCACAGAGATCCATGTGCTTCTGCCTTCCAAGTACTGGGATTTAAGGTGTGCACCATCACACCTGGCCCATTATCCTTTTTCCTGCAAGATCAAGTTCTCAGAAGGTGTGTTCTCATTTTGTATCACTAATGTCATTGGTGTCTGTTAGAAGATTTGCTAAATAAGTGAGTGAATAAATAGCAAGTCAGGATTCAGTGCAGGGAACACCAACAGCACAGGCTTTAAGGTCTAAATGGGACTTCATGAAACTGAAAAGCTTCTGTAAAGCAAAGGATACTGTCCTCAGAACAAAACGACAGCCTACAGATTGGGAAAAGATCTTCACCAACCCTATATCTGACAGAGAGCTAATATCCAGTATATATAAAGAACTAAAGAAGTTAAACAGCAAAAAATCAAGTAATCCAATTAAAAAATGGGGTACTGAGCTAAACAGAATTCTCTGCAGAAGAATATCTAATGGCAGAGAAACACTTTAAAAAATGCTCAACCTCATTAGCCATCAGGGAAATGCAAATCAAAATGACCCTAAGATTTGATTTGACCTAAGATGGTGTAAGGTGTTACACCCATCAGAATGGCTAAGATCAAAAACTCAAGTGACAACACATGCTGGAGAGGTTGTGGAGAAAGGGGAACCCTCCTCCACTGCTGGTGGGAATGTAAACTTGTACAACCACTCTGGAAATCAATCTGGCACTTTCTCAGACAACTAGGAATAGTGCTTCCTCAAGATCCAGCCATACCACTCCTAGGCATATATCCAAAAGATTCTCAAGTACACAATAAGGACATTTGCTCAACCATGTTCATAGCAGCCTTATTTGTAATAGCCAGAAGCTGGAAACAGCCCAGATGCCCCTCAGTGGAGGAATGGATGCACAAATTGTGGTATATCTACACAATGGAATATTACTCAGCAATAAAAAACAAGGAAATCATGAAATTTTCAGGTAAATGGTGGGATCTGGAAAAGATCATCCTGAGTGAGCTATCCCAGAAGCAGAAAGATGCACACGGTATATATAGACATGTAATATAGGATAAACCTACTAAATCTGTACACCTAAAGAAACTAATCAAGAGGGAGGACTCTGGCTAAAATGCTCAATTCCTATCCAGAAAGGCAAAGAGGCTGGACATCAGAAGAAGGAGAAAAGAGGGAACAAGTCAGGAGCCTGACACAGAGGGCCTCTGAAAAGCTCTGGCCTGCAGACTATCAGTGTAGATACTGAGACTTATGGGCAACCTTCGGGCAGAGTGCAGGGAATCTTAGGAAAGAAGTGGGAAACAATAAGATCTGGAGAGGACAGGAACACCATAAGGAGAGCAACAGAACCAAAAAATCTGAGCACAGGCGTCTTTCCTGAGACTGATACTCCAATCAAGGACTATGCATGAAGATAACCTAAGACCCCTGCACAGATGTAGCCCATGGCAGTTCAGTATCCAAGTGGTTTCCATTGCAATAGGAACAGGGACTGTCTCTGACATGAACTGATTGGCCTGCTCTTTAATTACCTCCCCCTGAGGGGGAAGCAGCATTACCAGACCACAGAAGAAGACAAGGCAGCCACTCCTGATGAGACCTAATTGACTAGGATCAGAAGGAAGGAAAAGATGTCCTCCTCTATCAGTGGACTTGGGGAGGGGCATGCATGCAGATGGTGGAAGAAGGGAGGGATTGGGATGGGAGGAGGGAGGGAACCACGGGGGGGGGGGGGATACAAAGTGAGTAAAGTGTAATTAATAAAGAAAAAAAATAAAAAAAAAAAAGAAAATAGGAAATGTGGGGCTGGAGAGGCAGCTCTGCAGGTGAGAGCATGTGTTCTTTTTGCAGAGGGTTCAGAACCTAAGTGGTGGCTTACAAGCATTTGTAACCCAAGTCCAAAGGATCAGATGCCTTTCTGTCACAGTAGGCAGCAGGCATATAAGTGACACACATTCATTCATGCACATAAACATACACAAAATAAAGATGAAAAAGAAAATAACAAAGTGGTATGTTGTTCTGGGTAGTTTTTATTGTCAACGTGACATAATTAAGAGTTACCCAAAGAGGGCGTCTCAATTGTGATATTGCTCAGATCAGATTGGCCTGTGGCCTTCTATGTGAGGAATTGTCTTTATTGTTGATTGATGTAGGAAGGCCCAGCCCACGGTGGACAGTGCCACCTCTGATGGTTTATAAGAAAGCTGGCTGAACACAAGTCAAAAGAAGCCATCCAGTAAGCAACAACATTCTTCTGGGCTTTCTGCTTCAATTCCTGCTTGAGTTTCTGTCCTGACTTCTGTGACCTGGATGCCAAAGCTGGAATTAACCCTTTCCTCTCTGAGGTTGCTTTTGGTCATGGAGTTTATCACAGCAATAGAATGCAACCTAAAGCAATGCATAAAGACAAAAATAGTGCAATGAGAATAGGATTAAAGTGGTTTTTATAATCAGGTAACATGTAGGCTCAGTGCAGTGTACTTAATATTTGCTGGTACAACTGAAATTAATTGTACAACATGAGTAGTGCAAGAGTTCCTAACTGCACAGAAAGACAGGACTGTGAGGCAGAGACCATATTTGTCCAATTTAGAATTAGAAAAACAGCTAATGTTTTAGTTGAGAGAGCCCTGTTCTGTACATAGAAAATCTTGTGTATGTCTTAGCTATGATATATTTTATTCTATATAATTGGCAAAGATGAAATGTGATGTTGAAGTCACTGTTTATGTTTACATATAATTTTTAAGTGTATAATTGTATAATAAATATAGCTTCTGCAGCTGGCATTGCCTTGTTTCTGTCCCCTGTAGGCAGGCATGCTGTAAGAAGGAAGGATCTGAGAAGCAAGTTTTGGTGATTGTGTTTATAGTTATATATACATATAGATATATGTCAAAATATATGTATATATTTGTTTTTCAGCTGTGGCAGAAGTAAAACTTCGGGATGACCAGTATACATTGGAGCATATGCATGCTTTTGGAATGTATAATTACTTGCACTATGATGTCTGGTATCAAGACAGTGTCTACTACATTGATAACCTTGGAAGAATTATGAATTTAACAGTGATGCTGGTAAGAAAAACATGCAGAGTATAAAGACAGAGCTCATCCTGTTCTGTTTGGTCTTTCCTCTCTTTGGAATTTGATGTCCAGACAGTCAATGTACACATACCTTTGGAATGTGGAAACCTGTTATCAAGCTGTATAAGGCTCCCTTTCTGCTTACATCAGTTGTAGCTTTTATTCTTTTTCTTGTTTTTTTGTCCCTGTACCCAACCATTTACACCTGTGTGTGGTATATCCTTAGTGTAATAATGGATTTCTTTCTTCCTTGTTTAGAGTTTACTTAAACTATGTTAACACTTAGGTTTGGCTGTTTGAGTTGTTTTTTTTAGCATTTTGAAATTATCCTTTTTTTCCTAAAGGTCTTGAATAATTTTTTTGCCTTGAAATCTTGTTTGTCTGTTATTAATATAGTCATATTTGACTTAAAAACTAATATTCTGGCAAGGGAGAAATCTCAGTAAAGTGATTGTCTCTTCTGTATCTAGAGCCCACGTCAACAGTCCTGTTGTGGTAGAACTCACTTGTAATCTCAGCCCTGAGAAGTCAGAGCTGAGCATGCCGCTGAATTGTAAAGGTGAACAGTGTCTGCAGAACACCACAGAGACTGAGCTCCATGAGCACACAAACACATGTGCACCTGCACAAGTACACACACAGGTGCACACACAAAGTGGTCCTCTTTGTTCTTTGACTTTATCAACAATTTTACCTGAAAGGGCTACAGTGTGTCTCATAAATATCTAGTAGTCAATTTTTCTCAAAAGTCAACTCTTTGTTTCATTGACTCTTGATTTTTGTGTTGTTGTTTTTTTTTTTTTTTTTTGTTTCTTTTCTTGTTTGTTTCTATTTTACTGATTTCAGTAATTGGTTATTGATTTTGAGTTCTGTAATTATTTCTGCTGTCTACTCCTTTTAGCCATGATTTCTTTTTGTTATAGAGCTTTCAGATGTGCTGGTAAGTTCTAGTATGAGGTTCCTCTAATTTTTTGTTTGTTTGTTTATTTTTGTTTTTTGAGATAGGGTTTCTCTGTGTAGCCCTGGCTGTCCTAAACTCACTTTGTAGACCAGGCTGGCCTCAAACTCACAGATATCCACTGCCTGACTCTTCCTCCCAGGGTACTGGGATCACAGGCGTGCACCACTGCACCTGGCTCTCTATTTGTTTTTTGTTGTTGTTTTAATTTTTTTTTTTTTTTAATGTAGGCATTTAGTGCTGTAAATTTGCCTCTTAGAACTACCTTCTTTGGGTCCCTTAAGTTTGGATATGTTATGTATTCATTTATCTAAATTAACAAAATTAGAAATGAAAATAGTAATACAGCAACAGATACCGAGGAAATATATAGAATCGTAAAGACATACTTTAAAAAACCTATACTCTATCAAATTGGAAAATCTAAAAGAAACTGATAATTTTCTCAATACATGTTACTTACCAAAGTTACATCAAGACCAGATAAGGAATTTAAATACACCTGCAATCCCTAGTGAAATAGAAGCAGTGATTAACACCCCCCACCACCAAAAAACGAGAGTAAATCCAGGACTAGATGGTTTTAGCACAGACTTTCAAACAAGAATTAATGCCAATATTCCTCAAATTATTCCACAACATAGAAACAGCAGGAATATTGCCCAGTTCATTTTATGAGGCCACAGTTATCCTGGTACAGAAACCACATAAAGAGCCAACAAAGAAAGAGAGTTACAGGTCAATTTTCCTTATGAACATAAATAAAAAAATACTCAAGAAAACGCTTGCAAACCGAATCCAAGAACACATCAAAAATATCATCTATCATGATCAAGTAGGTGTCAAGAGATGCAGGGATGGTTAAGCATCCATAAATTGATAAATGTAATCTACCAGATAAAGAAACTGAAAGATAGAAGTGACATCATCATCTCATTAGATGCAGAAAAGGTCTTGGACAAAATCCAACACCCCTTCACCATAGAAGTTCTGAGAAGATTAGGGATTCTAGGGAAATACCTCAACATATGAAAGGTAGTTTACATGATCATAGCAGTTTTATTCTTAATAGCCAGAAACTGGAAACAACCTAGATGTCTCTTAACAGATAAATAGATAGAAAAAATATGGTACATTTATACAAAGATTTACTACTCAGCTATTAAAAACAAAGACATCATTAGCCATAAAGTACAGGATAATCATGCTAACATCCAGAGACCCAAAGAAGCCAAGGAGGGCCTAAGGGAGATCACTTGAATCTCATTCAGAAGAGGAAGTAAAATAGACATCTGAAGTAGATGGAAGGAGAGAGATGTGTGGGTGATGGGGTGGAGAGGGTATTTCGGGGTGGTGATCAGGTGTTCAGAAAGTAGGGGAGGGAGAATGGAGGCGAGGATCTGGAGATAGAGCAGAAATAGGTGGGGTAGCATCTCTGGGACAGGTGAGGCCCATGGGAGACTAAGGGGTGACCCTAGTTGAGATTCCTAACAGCACGGGATATGGAACCTGAAATTGTCACCTCCTGTAGCCAGGTGGGACTTCCAATGGAGGGAGGGGAACACCAACCTACCTATAAAACCTTCAACCCAAAATTTGTTCTGCATACAAGAAATGTAGGGATAAAGATGGAGCAGAGCTTGAAGGAATGGCAAACCAATGGCTAGTCCAATTTGAAACCCACCCCATGGGAGAGAGCCAGTGCCTGACACTACTAATGATACTCTGCTATGCTTGCAGACAGGAGCCTAGCATAACTGTCCTCTTACAGGCTTCATCTAGCAGTTGAAAAAACAGATGCAGAGACCCAAGGCCAAGCAGTGGGCTGAGCTTGGGAAGTACTGTGGAAGAGAGGGAGGAAGGATTGAGGGAGCCTGACACATAAAGGAAACTACAATAAGATCTACAGAATAAACTAATGTGGATTCAAGGGGACTCACAAACTGGAGACCAACCAAAGAGCATGCATGGACTAGACCTAAACCTCCTACACAAATGCCTATCACATTTGTCCTTCTGAATGAGCATTGAGCATCTTCCCTATGGTCTTCCTTGTTGTTTAACTTCTTTAGGAGTACAGATTTTAGTGTGTTATCCTGTATTATATTGCTAATATCTACTTATGAGTGAGTGCATACCATGTGTATCTTTCTGCTTCTGGGATACCTCACTCATGATTTTTTCTAGTTCCCATCATTTGCCTGCAAATTTCATGATTTCCTTATTTTTAATAGCTGGGTCATATTCCATTGTGTAAATGTATCACAATTTTTGTATCCATTCCTCTGTTGAGGGACATCTAGGTTGTTTCCAGCTTCTGACTACTAGGAATAGAGCTACTATGAACATGGTTGAGCATATGTCCTTGTTATATGGTTGAGCATGTTTTGGATATATGCCTAGGAGTAGTATAGCTGAATCTTGAGGTAGCACTATTCCCAATTTTCTGAGAAAGTGCCAAATTGATTTCCAACTAATCCCTGGGCCCCTGCAGAGACTGATACCCCAAGCAAGGACAATGCATGGAGAGAACCTAAAACTCCTTCTTAGATGTAGCTCATAGACTCAGTCTCCAAGTGGGTTCCTAATAAGGGGATCAGGGACTTTCTCTGGCATGAACTCAGTGTCTGGCTCTTTGATTATTTGGGGGAGGGGTGCAGCCTTGCCAAGCCACAGAGGAAGACAATGCAACCAGTCCTGATGAGACCTGATAGACTAGGGTCAGAGGGAAGGGGAGGAGGACCTCCTCCATCAGTGGACTAGGGAAAGGGCATTGGAGGAGAAGAGGGAGGGTGGGTAGGATTAGGAGAAGATGAGGGAGGGGTCTGCAGCGGGGATACAAAGTGAATAAATTGTAATGGATACAAAGATGAATTTTAAAAATGCCTCTATAATATCAAGCTGAAGCAAGCCTGTAAGGTGTTAGTTAGTGATTGATGGGAGAGGGCCCAGCCCGTTGAGTGTGGTGCCATCCCTGGGCTGGTGGTCTTGAATCTGATAAGAAATCAAAATTAGTAAGCTAATAGGCAGCATTCTTCTTTGGCCTTTATATCAGATCTTGCCTCCATGTTTCTGCCCTGCTTGAGTTCCTGTCCTGATTGCCTTTGATAATAAACCAATATGGAAGCATAAGCCAATAAACCCTTTCCTTCCCAAGTTGCTTTGTTTATGGTGTTTCATCATAGCAATAGTAACCCTAAATAGGACAAGGGCTAGTATTTCAAAATATATAAGAACTGAAAAAAAAATTAGATATCAAGAAAACAAATAACACAGTTATAAATGGGATATAGATCTAAACTGAATTCTAAACTGAATAAATAAAATTATTTATTATTTATTACAATTTATTCACTTTGTATCCCGGCTATGGCCTGGTCTCCTCCCTTGTCTCCTCCCAATCCCACACTCCCTCCCTCTTCTCCCCCTATGCCCCTATCCTAGTACACTGACAGGTGAGGTCATCCTCCCCTTTTATTTGACTCTAGCCTATCAGGTCTCATCAGGACTGGTTGCATTGTCTTCCTCTGTGGCTTGGCAAGGCTTCACCGCTGCCCCTCCCCAGGGGGAAGTGATCAGAGAGCCTGCCACCAATTTCATGCCTGAGATAGCCTCTGCTCTCCTTACTGGGGAACTCACTTGGAGACTGAGTCTATGGGCTACATCTGAGCAGGGGCTTTAGGTCCTCTCCATGCATGGTCCTTGGTTGTGGTATCAGTCTTTGCAGTGGCCCCAGGGCCCAGTGTTTTGTTTTGTTTTGTTTTGGCTCTGTTGGTTTCCTTTTGGAGCTCCTGTCTCCTCCAGGTCTTTCTATCTCTCCCTTTCATAAAATTCCATGCATTCTGCCCAAAGTTTGGCTATGAGTCTCAGCTTCTGCTTCAGTACCTTGATCAATAGAGTCTGTCAGAGGCCCTCTGTGATAGGCTCCTGCCTGTTCCCTGTGTACTCCTGCTTCTCATGTCTATCAATTTGCCCTTCAAGTAGAAACTCAAATTGCTGAGAAACATTTAAAGAAATTTTCCCCATCTTTCAC